GAAAATTCCTGCCCACAGCAGTATAAGCAAAGACTAACCCATGGCCACTCATGAAGCAGATGGACGTGGTGGCGCATGCCAGTAATCTCAGCACTCAGGAGGCTGAGGCAGGAGGGTCGGAGGCCAGCCTGGAATACAGAGCATAACCCTATCTTTAACAAAAAAAGATGCAGATTCGGCGGGAGCATGTGGTCCAGTGGTAGAGCACTGTCCTAGTATGCATGAGGCCCTGGGTTTGATTCCTAGCACTGCAAAACAAAACAAACAATAAATAGAATTCTCCCTGCCCAGACATATACAGCATCCCCTTCTGGGGATGCTGACCTCTCAATTCTGGTCTCCTGACACCTCCATACCGAAAGCAAAGCCAAGCACAGAAAGGGGCTTGTGCTGATCAGTCTATAGCCCCAAACTTCTCTCACTGAGCCAGCAGAGTAAGAAGACAACATGCTCTGTTTTGTGTTTTGCGATACTGTGGACTGAACGGAAGATCTTCACACTGAGCTAGCCCTAACCCCTTTATTTTTATTTTCAGATAGCGTGTCACTAAGTTGCCCAAGTAGGGCTCAAGCCTGCAGTCACCCTGCCTCAGCCGCTGGGATTACAAGTGTGCACCACCTCACCCAGCTGGACTTTTATTTTTTTTAGATAGGATGGTGTTACAGTGCCCTGGCTAGTCTTGAATTTTGAGGCTAAGGTGATCCTCCTGTCTCAGCCTCTCAAATAGCTGGGACCACAGGCATGTGCCGTTGTGCTGGCTTTATTTGGTTGTTTTGATATTAAAGAAAAAATACTGAACAATGCAACCCACTAAATTAATAGCATGGAGAAAAGTCACGAGACTGAGATGCAGTAAAAGCATTTGGTAAACTTCAGCACTCACCCACGATCCAGACTTTTCCTCTATCCTCTGAGGAGTGGAATGGACCGGATGAGAACCTGCCTGCAACCTGCAGCAAACTCAGCCTCCTTGTCAGCCCAGCCCAGCCCAGCCCAGCCCCGGATGTCCCGGGTCAGGTTCTGGCTCCAACCAGCATGGTCCTCAGCTCAGCTATATCCTCTCCAGCCCCCTTGTCCCCACCGCCTCAACACCTACTCCACGGCTCACAGCCAAGGCCCCGCCAGCCTAAGCTGCCCGCCTCGCTGCCTCTCAAGTCCCCAGGTCCGACCCGTGGACCTGCCGACACCCCCCGCCCACCTGCCCTACCGTCTTTCATGACCTGCTCCTCTGCCCCAGCCCACTCTGCCGTCCTGTTGTGTTCATGGGGCAGAGTCCCGGCTCTGGGCTCTTGTGCTTCCTGCCTGTACTTGCCCAGGAGCTGCTGGACCTGCTATAGAATACACAGCTGTCCACTGTGCGGCCACAAGGCCCGCAGCCTACGAAGTGCCTAGGTCCTGGGCCGCACCTCTCCCTTGCGTGACACCTCCCTGCCCAACACGTACGGGCTGGCTCCGGGAGTGTCCCCATGCTACTTTAGTGCATGCGCGTGTGCATTTGTGCGATGCAGGGGCCCCTCCGTGACTCCCGGAGACTATGACACCGCTGGCCCAGGGAACCAGGGGCTAGGATCGAGGTCAGCAGGGTGCTCAACATCACGTCATCCATTTCTCCCCTGTGAATGCTGGCCTGGGTCAGTGGCAGAGGGACCTCTGAAGCCAAGCAGTGGACCCACCCAGGGCCAGCCTGTGTCCTTGCTATTCCCTCTTCATAAGAATTTCCGAATTACGATGCTTCCCAGAGAAAGCTGCTTTCAAAGCTGCCCTCTGGAGCTAACCACACAGAGCCAAGGGTTAGGGGAAAAATTCAACGGAGCCCTGCCCAGCAGTCTTCACAGGCAGGAGGTGGGTACTAGGGAGCGAGCAGCCTATACCGATTTTCCATACCTCCATGAAGTATCTGTACCCGCAAGGGTCAAGATATCCCACTCCTGCCCAGGGGCTTGGCTGTGCTAACCCACCAGCCAGTGGTAACCGGAGTGACTCCATACCCACTACGGCCACTCCTGGAAATGGGTGAGGGCCTCAAGACAGAGACAGCGCAGCAGGAGGATGGGGTTCCTGGCAGGTGAGAAGGGAGACACTGGGAGCCCGCACGGGGACCTGGACATTGGCGTCTGTCCTGGGGACAGTGTTCCTGAGGACCAGGCCCTGGGACGATGCAGGGAGACTAGCCAGAGCCCTGTGACATGGCCAGCAGGCTGGACCTGGCCTCAGTCCCGAGGCGATCCCTGTCTCCTGCAACAGTGGACACGACACGGTGACTCTAGGTGTGCAGAGGGCTCGGCCCGGTAGTTCCTGCCCTGGCAGCTCTGCGGCTTCTATTTAGAGGGAAGTCCCTGGTGAAGCCAAGGGGACAGAAGGTACAGGCCACAGCTCTGCTGCAGCTGCGACGACTGCACGCAATGAGGCGAGAGCGCGGGAGGTTTGCTCCCAGCCAGGGCTCATGGGGTGGAGGAGCCTCATTATTACCTAAAGACCTAAACATACTACTAGCTGTAAATCAGTCCCTGCTTCAAGGCTGTGGGCACGGCCCCGAGTGGAGGAGGAAGGAACAGGGCCTGTGTACCACCTGGATCTGACTACAGCTGAGGTCCAAACCTGGCAGCTAGCGGGAAAGCCACCTCCGAAGGCAGGCGTGCAGCTCTGGGTCGTCAAGTGTCCCCAAAGCCCCCAGGCACTGTCCTGAGCAGGTAGCCTCCTGGTCACGGCCATGGCCCCCTGCTGAGCCTTGGCCAGAGCTGGGACCCTCCAGGAAGGATCTCTGGCCACCAGTGGCTCTTACCGCACATGACCTCAGGTGCCAGGAATGCGCGGCACAGCCGCCATCTGGTTCTGATTACCCACGCTCTGCTGCAGGAACCTCATCCACATCTCTGCTCCTAGTGCCTGCCTGGGAGAGACTGACTGGGGCTCAACGGAAGTCTGAGCAAGAGGAGCAGACAAGGCACCTCTGAGCCTACAAGGCAGGCAGCCACACCGCAGTGTCCTGGCACGGGTGAGGGTGCTGTGGACACCCAGGGCTCAAGGCCGCCTCACTGCTCCCTGGTGTCAAGGGCCATCGGACAGCAAAGCACCCTGGATGCTTCCTCCCACAGGCCTGGGGTTTGCCGAACCTGAAACCTCCACGACCTGTGGGCCAGCTCTGGGTGTGATTTCAATGCCTTTGCCAGGTTGGTGGCACACAACTGTAATTCTCGCACTCTGGGAGGCTGAGGCAAGAAGATCCTAAGTTTGAACTCAGCCTGGGTATCTGAGTGACTTAGTGAGACCCTCTCTCAAAATAAAAAAGGCTGGAGGTGTAGCTCAGTCCAAAGGCCCTGGGTTACATTTCTAGTACCAAACCACGGGAGTGGAGAGAGAGGGGAGAGATAAGGGGAGGAGAGGGGAAGAGGAGGTCTTCACCCTCCCTTGGGACTGTTCTCCACTGCCCAGGACACCCCCTCCCCAAGCAGCGCAGTGCTCAGTTGGGGGTGAGGGGACCTCGCCTCTTCCTTTGATGTGCTTGGCTGCGCCAGGACCTACCCAGCACCCACCATCACCCCAACTACTTCCAGGCTAGAATCCCTGCCTCCCCCTTCTGCTTTGACTTTTCAATTCATTAATTCCTGCTTCCCCCTTCTGCTTTAACTTTTCAATTCATTAGTAGAGTAAAAGTTCATCTCTGGGCTGGAACATGCCCCATAAATTTAAGTTTTAAGTTCCAGCAGCTGTTTCCCAAACACTCCAGAAGAGGCTGAGCAGACAGGGGCAGGACGGCTCCTTCATGGGGTCTGGGGTGCAGAGAGCTTGGGTGGGAGCCACAGAACTCTCAGAGAAGCTGCCTGGGCTTCAGCTCTTTGTACAGTCGGGCCAGTGAGCATAACTCACAGTGGGACAAGCACTGGGCCCAGGGAGGGGAGCAAGGAGAGGCTCCCACGCACCTGGTGGGAACTCTGAACACGCAGACCAGCACCCAATTCTGAACCTCCAACTCTAAAATGACCATCAGGGGCCTGAGGTTTGGCTCAGTGGTTCTGCTGCCTGACTAACAAGCACAAGGACCCCAGTTCGATTCCCAGTACCGAAAAAATAAATAAATCAAATGACCATCAGTAGTACGGCTTCACACCCACTCACCACCCCAGCCCACCGTTTGGAGGCCTTGGACACCCCTCCTTCCAGGTAACTGCATCAGAAGCTCTGCCCCTGGTGCCAGGGCCGCCGATGGCCTCTCCAAGACACTGCAGAGAGTCAGATGTATGAAGAGACGGACAGATGGGACAGGTTTACTCTGAGTTCACCACGCTGCACAGGCTTTGTCCTCCAAGTACAAGGTGATGCCCAGGACGTGTGAACACACCGCCGCACTCGCCTGGGCTCCCACACTCCCACGCCCTCCCCTCATACAGGGCTCTGCTCTCCCACACCATGGAGCGAACCATGCAGGCCGGACCGCCCTATGCGGGCACAGACATCAGCCATTCTCGAGCCACACCAGCTAGGACAGCCCACAGGACATTCGGGGAGATCTCCAGCAACCCATACTCAGCCCCAAGGCTTCGAGCCCCCGCCCCATGGGCTTTCCTGCTGCCACTGAGCAGCAGCCTCCTAGAGCCACGTTGCAGACCACCACTGGGGGCCCTGGCTCCCAGAAGCTTTTGATAGGTTTTTGCTTTGTTTTGTTTTTGTTTTTGATTAATCAGCTCCTTGCTGGCCAAATTCCTCTGAGTTTTCACAAAGGGGTTTGGGTCTGCCTGGACTCTACGTGCCTTTCTCTGGATGGACAAGACGTGACGGCTGTTAAGCTGAGGTCTGGGGGAAACCCAAACCATGTGAAGGGCTGGCCCCACCCACGCCCCTCCCTCCTGTGACAGCCTCGGACAGGCCCGCCTGCACCACCTCCAAGTGATTAATTAGCCAGGGATCTGCAGCAGCTCCTCTTCATGCCTAAATATTGTTTCAGCCTATCAGACTGTTAGTGCAGAGCAGGATAAATGAGGCCCGGGGCCTAGCGCACTGACCTGCAGGGCCTGCTGCCCATCCAGGCTCCAGACAGCCAGCGCCTTCCCCGCGGAGCCGGAGACGCCCCGAGCCTTCTGAGAGTCAAAGTCAAGGCCCATGACGGGCTCCTCGTGGCAGGAGACACGGCTGCACACCTTCCTCCCACAGACGTCCCACAGGGCCACCGATCCGTCCTCATAGCCAGCCAGAAGGAGGAGGTGGGGACTGGACTGCGCCTGTGGGGAAGAGCACAGTGGTCAGCACCCAGAAGGGATTGGCCTCCAGTGAGTTCGGGGGAGACAGAGCTCTGGAGAAAGGCAACGGTGGGGCAGCACAGTCAAGGAGCAATTTCCCGTGCTTTCCACGGAGCCAGCAGTCCTGAGGCTCTGCACCCCATACCTTCCTAAGCAGCCTCCCCTGGTGCCTGACACCATTGGCATGGGTCTGTCAGGACCACTCCCACTGCTGTACCCCTGAGGGGCTGGAGGGCACAGAGCCCAGAGCAGCCCACAGAGGCCCCTGGCCTCGCGTGGCCGCTTTTCACCAGCCCCAAGACCTGACACCTGCCGGCACTGGCTTATGCTTGAAAGGGGAGGCACTGGGCACCCACCAAGGCCTTTAAGAGCTGTCAGGGACCCATTTTTCTTGCTTCCTCTCCTACGGCCCCAGACTCGAGGCCACTCCTTGCCGGGGCTGGTCACCTGTTTAGAATCCCCAGCCAGGAAAATCACAAGCTCCATCTCTGTGAAAAATGAACTTTGTGTGCTTTGTCAGTGTGGCTGCGGAAGCCCCCAGCCCCGGGAGCCCGGTGTTCCTGGAACTCTAGCGGCCCTTCCTATCATGATGAATGAGGGTGAGGGTCAGAGGGCTCCGCACCCTGGGCAGATGCCTCGTTTATTTAGCCTCGGCAACAACTACAGAAGAGGAGCGCTGCAGGATTCCAAGTCACCCTGGGGGACGCAGCCATCAGTCCTGGCACTAAGCAGAGACCCGAGAGAAACCTCACAGGGCCGAGCAAAGAAGAATGGTGTAGTCAGAGGCCCAGGGCACGTAGCTAACCAGTGGACGATATCCTCAACTGGCACAGGGAGTGAGGCTGGGGGTTGTGTGTGAGAGCTGGGAGGACCACGTCTGGGTTGGAGGACGCCTGTCGGACGGTGGGAAGGACACAGTCACTGGGCTTGCATACGGGCACAGCAAACCTATGAAGGCCAGAGCTGGTACAGAGGAGGCCACCGTGAACCCAGAAACAGCTTGTAAGCTGACTACGTCCTGACAGCGCTTCAAGTTGACGAACACAAAACTCGGGAGCAAGGCTCCCAGAGAGAGGCACAGGCTGCTGTGCACCCCTTGGGTGACTCCTCTCGAGCATCACCTGGAGATGCCTTCCCGATGCTGGGGCCCAAGCTGTGCCGACTGTGAGCCTGAGATGCAGGTCTCGCCTCGGTTTTCAAGTGTGCCCAGCACCCCACGCTAATGGCCTCCACCCCGCAGAGGGCCTGGCTATGCAGCCGTGCTGTTCCTGCGCTGCCATGACAGGGAAGCGCCCCCTGCTGATGATTTTCACTGGCTCAGAGATGGCTCGTACAGGCTATGCTACTCCTCTCCCACATGCGGCACATGAAACAGGCAGGCTGTCCACCTGGCAGCACGTGGTGGGCAGGCACACCTCTCCAGATGGTCACTCTGGGCAAGAAGCCCTGTCAGGATCCAAGGAAGGGTCAACACCAGGTGGGAGAAGCCCGAGACACCCCGCAGCCTAACCAGGACCAGATGCTAGCCCCTGCCAGACAAGGCGTGGCCACCTGCTGCACCCGGCCCCAAGGCCAACTCCAAAGAATTCACCTGGGGCTACTGAGAGTCACTCCCTTGGGGCACTGTGCTCCTGCAGCACCCAGTCCCAATCACAGCAGCCCTGGTTGAGCCATCCTCTTCCCCTCCCCATGGGACTCTTTTCTTTCTTCTTTTTGGTACCAGGGATCGAACTCCGGCCCTTGCACTTGCGAGGCAGAAGCGGAACCACTGAGCTAAATCCCCGGCCCAGGGACTCTTTCTTTCTGTGTTTTCTGAGCTGAAGGCTCCAGGAACTCCTCTCATCAATGACATTGGTGCCAGTCAGTTTCTGCATTAAGTTGTGGCCTCTGACAGGTTCTGAGCACCACAGCTAATCCGGGAGCCATGTGTGACTGCTCATCCGTCATGGTTCCGTGGCATAGCTGAAGGCTCCAGGCTGCTTGGAGGTGCTTGTCCCACGGGCTCAGCCATCTTGCTCTCTGCTGTACCTGCAGTCCCTACACCTCCCAGTGACAGATTCCATAGGTCAGATAGTGCTCTGACCTCTGCAGGCATGAAGGTCTCAAGTCACCCTGACGTGCTTTTCTCTGGCTCCTCCATTCTCCCTCAACTGAGACCTGGAAACAAAGACTCACTCTGCAACTCCTCCTGTCCCCTGGTATGCAGCTGGGTTCCCATGAGGAGCAGCGAATTCTATGCACTCCAACTCAGGTGGGGCCAGCTAGAGTGCCCTCAGGATTGGGGGCTGCTTTGAAAGCCGGTGCCAACTATGCTGCCTCAGGCCTGATTTACATCCTGGCCTTTTATGCAGTAATTATCCTAATAACACAGATTGGTTTTTTGAGTTGAGAATAAGAATAGACTTCAGTGCTGCAGAAGAAACACCAAGTCTGGTCACTTTGCCACACTCAGATTAACTTTACAACCTGACCTACAGGGCTGGGGAGAAAAAAGAAACACTTGAAGTCACTGTAGGCTTTTCTTGAGGCTTCATTTTGGATCCGTATTACCAACTGTGATTTGTCCTCTGTCAACTATATTAATTACCTTAACAAGTTGGTACATCCCTTTCTACACGTTTTTCTGCTGGAATTTTTACACGATTATGTAACATCCCACATTTCCCAGGGAGGAGGACAGGAGTGGGGGCAGCAGGGAGATCCTGCCCCAGGACCCGAGAGCACTATGGTTACTGCCTGGGGCACTCCTGCAGGGGCTGGCTGGGAGGTGGTGTGGAAAGACCTCTTCCCAGGGACACACCTGGGAGCCCTCACAGTGACCTAGGCTCTGCTGCAGTCCCTGAGGCATGACTACAAATCGGGCTCCGGGGGCTTTGCCATTTTAGGTCTCTCCAAAGCCCTCCCCACAACACACTCAAACCCCCCGGGGCTTCTAAGAAGCTGGGTGGCAGAGGCAGTGCCCCAGGATCAGCTTATTGGAGATCTCAAATTTCAACTGGAACCTTCTCAGTCAAGAAACTACAGGGAGGAGCCAACTGGAAGGAAGGCCATCAGTCTTTCTTCTCGCATGGCCAGACGGAAGAATAGTACCTAGTTGGATCTCTGGGAGTCCCTGTCCTGGGGGGTTCTCGTGGGACAAGCAGATAGCTCCTGATTTCATCTAATTCTTAAAAAGAGTTTAAAGAGGCCTCCTCCTGACTGCAGCCCAGCACAGTGCAGTTCTCAGCACCGAACAGAAGCAGGAAGATGGCTCAGGGATCACCCACTGCTCCTGAGAGGGCACTAGTTGATGACTTAGTCCCCGTGATTTCTGCACCAGTGAAGAGGCTTAAGGCTGAGGCTTCTGGAACTCTTTGGAAACTAACACCCTAAACTGTTCACTGTGGTGCCCCAGCTATGAATGACCCAGGAGAAGACACCTAACAGCTGAGCCAGCTGTGTCGGGGGTGTGGTAGGAGGAGCAGGCCTCACCTTGCGAAGGGCTGGGAGTATCCCTCCCACCTCCAAGCTGTGACTCCCACTTGGGCCCAGCTTTGGCTGCCAGCTCAGAAGTGCTCCTGACTTTCTCTAACAGGAAAGTATAATAGAAAAAGTAGGAAATGGCTGCGGGGAAAGTCATTGTGTTAAGCCTACTCCTACCTCTAAGAGGTAAAGAGGTAACAAAAATTAATCCCAAGCATGGCAAGGGTGGCGTGGGCTTGCCGGGGTTAGTCAGCATTTTCCCTGTGGCCTTGGCAGTCTGAGATCCAGGCAGACAGAAAAAGGGCACATGTTCCCCCAGGGAGTAGGCCAGGCAGCTGCTGACCCGAGTTCCCTGCTCACGGCCACCAGTGGGAGGCATCCCGGAGGATGAGCGATGGGAGCAGGGGTCTCCAGGAGCCCTTTCAAAGCCACAGCAGCAGCTGCCAGAGGAAGCAGAGGATACTGGAGCTGCAGAAAGTGGCCTGCATGTGTTCTCTGAAGGGAGTATCGCCCCATCGATTTGACGACAAATCAAACTCTGAATGGGGCCTGACTCACAGCTGGCAGGCGTGGGTGCAGGGCGGGGCTGGCACACGCTCATCTTACCTGCCACAGCCTCAGGCACATGGGCATGCCTGGCTTGGCATCTGCCTCCGGCTTCAGGGTGCACACTGACGTCTTGGATGGCATCTCCAGAATCTGAACCTGACAGTAAGAAAACAAGTCGATTTGGGCCGACGCCAAGTCAAGTTTGTGCTATACAAACAAGAGACTTTTAAGGCGATTAGCCAAGGTTGCAGCAAGTTTCTGTCTGCTCCCCTCCCTGTGGGACTGCGAGCGAGCTGAGTCTCCTAATTAGGCTTTACAGGCTCGTGGGCTTGGGTGCTGCAGGGCCATTGTGCAACAGATGTTCACATCATTCCTAAGTGACCAGCCCGTCACAGGCTGGTGGCTGCCCATGGCCTCTCTCGATTTTGCCATCAGGGTGGAACAGGCCCGGCTCAGCCAGCCCTAAACTAGCCTGGTCCTTCCTCTGCTTGCCTCCTTTCTCCATGTAGGACCCACTCTATGCAATCTTGGGAGTATCAAATGCACAGGAGCACCAAAGACCCGCCATCAGTCTAAGAAACGAGCAAGATTGGATGTTGGCGTTCCGGGCTCTGACTGCTGTCCTGCATATCCCAGATGCCTGGGTGCCTTGCGGCCCATAGTCAGGCCTCGCAGGCTGCCCATCTACTGAGTAGCCAGGGCAGACTCTGCCCAGCACCATCCTTAGGGGATGGTCAATGCTGTGAGGGGCAGACTCAGTCACTAGAGCACCAGAGACGGGAACTGGGCCCTAGCTGTCCCTCAGTGCCCGGGTTTCCTCAACTACCAGTAGGCACAGGGCACCCCTTCCTGTAAGCTTGGAGGAGCAGGGTGCTCCCGTATGACACAGGGCCAGCTAAACGCTCTCGTCTGGAGTCTGTGCTGCTGAGTGGGTACACTGCCAGCCGTCTGCCATGACTCTGAACTTGGGTAAAGGATGTTGGCCCAGAACTCACCTGTCTACCAGTAATGTGTCAGGGACACCAATGTGCAGTCAGACTGGACAGCAAGGCTAAGCCAACACAGGGCACCCCTGGTTTACACGCGAGAAGCCTGTAGTCCGGAGAGGTTGGGCTGTCACTGGATAGAACCCCCTAGCTGGTCTGGCCCCTCCGGCCAGGCTAGCAGACAATGTCCGAAGGGCCACTGCCTGGGCAGGTGAGAGCTGTACTACCCGCACTACACAGGACAATGGGCCTGCGCCCTGGTTCTGAGTTCTAAAGGTCCCACATGCTTGCTGGAGGGCTGTGCCCAGGCAGCCTCCCGGCAGGGCAGACGGATGAATACACAGCCTGCTCCTCCAGCTAGAGTCCTGTTGATAGCCCACCCCTGACAGATGGCCAGGATGCGGTGCTCTCTGGTTCAGCTGCGGACAGCTGGGCTTCTGCGCTTGCTGTGCACCACAGGGCAGCTCCTAGCTCTGCTCCACCTGCCACAGGGGCCGAGTCTTGCACACACACGACACCCACATGAACACAGGGTGTGCACACGTATTCAGGCACGCATGCACACGAACACACGCGTGTATACATCTCAGGCTGAGCCAGGTGGGAACCTGGTGAGAATATTCTGCCAAGACCCAGGAGAGCTAAAGTGAGGCCAGCACAACAAGTGATCCAGGAGAAGCCAGACGTGGAGCTCTGAGGCCCTCTCTACCTTCTGCAGGAATAAAATAGACTCTATTACCAAGTTCCTCCTTGTGGAATCAGCCATTGTCACTGTGTGAAGAGCTACGGAAACATACCTTAGCCTGCAGGGAGTAGGCACCGGGTCAGGGTCGAGTTACGACCCAAATGCAGCAGGCGGAAGGAGCCCTCAGCCCACACGTTCCTGGGGCATCTGGGGGAAGGCAGAAGTCACAGGACACACAGCTTATGACCTAGAGCTGCCCCAATCTGTGGGCTCGAGAAGACCCCTCGGGTGGCAGTGCAGAGGGGCCTGAGGGCAAGGGGCCAGGGGTTCATACAGAAAATGTGCTTTCTGGCTAGAGGAGGGGTGAGGGTAAAAACCAGGGCAGCCCTGGGGTCTAAGCTGGGAAGTACGGGAGCGGGTGTGAGAAAAGCAGCTTCTCGAGTCACCATCCTTCATGCAGGAAAGCAGAGAGGCCAGGACCTGGGGATAAAGGGGCAGGCATCGGCCACCTGGCCCAGAGACCCGCATCCAGGCTTTGTGCTGTTAGAGCAGGAGTTCCTGGTCTTGCTGTGCTCAAAGCCTACAGACACTAGGCGCTTTCCACCTGGCACCCAACTGCAACTTCTGTTTCCAGAAGGAAAATGTTGAGTTTGGACAAGTGTGGCCACCCAGACGGCCAAGCAGGGCAGGAGTGTGCTCCCCAAGCACTGTCTGGGCATAGGCGGGCAATGCTTTTCCAGGGCTCAGCCCAGGCATATTCCAGTTGGGAGTATGGAAAACAATCATTTTCCCAGGATGTGCAAAGTCTCCAAACTGACTGTTCCTGAAAAATACCAATGCCGCCCGTACTGGGAGACCTGGGGACAGGAAGCTGGTTAAAACCATGCAGGGGATGGCCTGCAGGGAGGGAAGCTGCCAGCTAATCATGTACCAGGCAGTGGCACATGGAGGATGGCCAGCAGCACTGCCCTTGGGAGTGAACTCTCTCAAACCTCAGGATGGCATTCATGGGTCTGCAGCTGGGGAGGAGCTGGCATCACCTGCTCCCACCATCCAGGAAGAATCATGCCCCTCCTTCTCACATTAATAAAACTTTTAACAGGTTTTTGGCAAATTGGCAAGAAAAGTGCATGTAGCTCCTAATTGGTGATTTAAATGTAATCATGAACAAATAAATGCCTGTTCCTATCTCATTATTTATGAACCGGCTCTACTTGAAGACAAAAATGACTTTTGAGCGGGGGCCAAGCCTAACCTAGTACACAGGGCTTGATCTGCCAGCACTGCTGAGAGCTTCCCTGCCCAGCACCCCCGGCCACAAAGGACCGTGGGCCTAAAGGGGATGGTCAAGAGCCCCTTCCCAGCCTCTTGCTCCTGGAGCAACGGTCCTGCACACTTGTCAGGCCTGACAATGGCCACTCCCAGGTCCGCCTTCACTCTCCCTTCAGCTTCCCCAGAAGCTGGACCTGTGGTCTCCCACCCCGCTTTATGCTGTCCTCTGCCCTGGTTTCCCATGTTCTACCTTTCCTTGTATTCTGGGCGCCCCTCCCTTGGTGGACTCTGCTTCCTTTGTCCCTAGGGTGTGGACACCACTGTACAACCTGAGCAGTTCCACCCACATCACTAATGCCCCCTCCCGTCACTCTGGCCTGAATGCCACCGAACAGTGACCTCCCTGCCCCGTGAAGTCCCCTCCTCTATGCATTCCTCCGCTCACGTGTTCCTCAGGGGCCACGACGGCCACTGCGGTGCCCTGCAGTCTCTCATCCACTACCGCCTGCCAGTCACGCAAGTGTTCCTCCTACTTTGGTGTATAAGTACCCAGAGGAACTCAGTGGTTTCTCCTCCAGCTGCCCCTGGTGGCTTTAGGCCTGCTCACTTAGCTATCCCGTCAGTATTACTGCACTGGGTTCCAAGGCGTCCAAGGTACGAGCTCCTCCCTGGGCCCATTCTGATTCTCACCTCCCTGGAAGGACGGCTCACCCTGCACTTCACAGGTGACCGGCCAAGGCAGAGCTAGCCGTACAGCAGCCTAAGGCCACTGGAGGTGTAGCCACGCAGGTGGCCCCTACGCCTGACAAGGCAGTCTTCAGAGCCCAGTAGGAAGCCCGCGGTGCCTCCTCACCAGGCATGCAGGACAAGCACACCTGTTTTAACAGAAACCCAGCAGCCTGTGGCTCGGGGAATGGAGGGCATCAGGATGCTGCTCCTTACCTCATCACTGCCCTTCCCTGGCACTGCAAGCAGCCAGCGTGCCTGCCCCTCGGCCAGAACGGAGCTCCTGCAGAAGCCCACACTCTCCAGGCACACAGCGTCCACAACGGCATTCCGGCCCTCTGCCAGGTCCCACAGGCACAGTCGCAGGTCTCGGCCCTGACTGACAAAGCAGGAGGAAGAGGCTGTGAGACCCGATGAACACGACTGTATGATCCCAGACAAGTATGAGGACTCAGCTCCCAAGGGTGAAGGTGACGATGTTGTTTGAGAGAGCAGCTGTGGTACTGGACCATCCCAGGCTGAGCAAGGGCCTTTTCACCTGGCACTCACACCTGGGTCTGCACCCAAGGTGCCCAGTGCCAGCACTCAGAGCAGATTTAGGACATGGGTGCTTGGTCCCCGACCAGCCTTCCTTGGCCCTCCCGCTGCTCCCTATCCCACTGACGCACAGCCCACCCTGTCTTCTCTCTGTGAGTTAGGTTTAAAAATCCAGCAGTCTTCTGGGCATTCGGTAGCACTCAGAAGGCTGAGGCAGGAGCATCGCTGTGAGTTCGATGCCAACCTGAGCTACACAGTGAGTTCAAGGCTAGCCTGGGTTACATAGCAAGACCCTGTCTCAAAAACAAACAAACAAACAAAAATCCAGCAGTCTCACTCAAGTCTTTTCTGAAGTGAATTTTAAACCTATATTTATTTATAAAACAAAACAAAACAAAAAAACAAACCATATAGGAATGCTTACAGAAGCTCTAGCTATTATCACCCAAACCGGAAACAACCATGCTGCCCTCCAACAGGAAAGCAGCCTGTGCACACTATGGAATACCAGCAGCAACAGAAAGGAGCCAACTGCTGACCCATGCAACAGCCTGGAGGAAGTGCAGAAACAATTTGCTGAGTGAAAAAAGACACATCTGAAAGGTTACGCACTTTGGTGACATTCTAGAAAAGGTATTTTCATACCTCCCCAAGGTAGGCAGCTCTGGGCCCAGCCAGGCAGCAGACTGCTCTGTGTGGTCCTGGGGAGGCGGCTGCAGGACTCTGCGTCTGCAAGACCCACAGAACTGTGCACACAGAGTGAAGTTCACTGTGTGCACAACAGAAGCATCAACAAAGTGAGATGCTGGAGGCCCAGGAGAGGCCACAGGAAAGCGGATGGCACACTGCGCAGGGATATGGGAGGAGGCTGACCTGAGGGGTCTGGGGAGAGTTTCAGCTGTCAGACGTCGAGGTTAAAGAGAACTGTAACTGCAGAAATACAGTGGCCCAGTGGTGCTTGGTGCCTTTCCTTTTTCCTTTCTTCTTCCTCCTCCTCCACCTCTGCTCTTCTTCATTTTAGGTATTTATTTACTTATGTACTCACTGGGTGGACCTGGAGAATGAACCCAGGACCTCGGTGCTGAGCTACACCCCCAGCCCTCCTTTCCTTTCCTCCCTTCCCTTTTCCCTTCCCCCTTCCCCTCCCCTCCCTCTTTCTCCTCCCCGCTCTCTTTTTTAAGTTTTGAGATAGGATCTTACTACACTGCCCAAGCTGGGCTCAAACTTGTGATCCTCCTGCCTTGGGCTCTCAGAGGGCTGGGATGACAGGCGTGCGCCACCGCAGCTGGCTTAGTTTCTCCCAGGAAGATGGGCAGCAGTCCTGAAAACCTTGCACATCCCCACTTGGGCGGATGACACACGACAGTGGTGGATGGTGAGAACTGTGTTTCTGCCTCACGGGAGCCAGGAAAGTCAAATGGGCCTGATTATCAGAAACCAGAGGTTGGCAAGAGTGTACGCACAGCTGTATCCAAGCACAGATGCACAGATGCAATGTAGATAGGCCCCGGAGCTCGAGCAGCACGCACACAAGTGCCCCCCAGCGCTGTCCTCCCGAAGCACCTAGAAGCCGCAAACCCCCCTAGCACCCAAGGCTCAGTTAATCCCATTCTCCAAACACAGGAGCCAGGTTTCTGAAGAAATAATGGTGCTAGGGATGGGGTCGGGGGAGAAACCAAGGTGAGTTTCAAGCACCTTTCAAGGAGTGCCGGAAAAAAATAGAAATACTTTAAAAATAAAATAAAAGATAGTGGCACATCAAAAAAAATATGCCCAAAAGTTGGAAAAATCTGAGCGACAAATGCCAGTAGTATTAGGTTTTAACCCAATGAATGAAGTGAGTCCCCACATGTCTGTTTTCATGAGTAAACATATAAATAAAGGAGGAAGAAGGGAAAAACTTTCCTTATAGTTCCTAAGTTTCAATTAAAGCAGAATTCTAACAAAAGGGAAGTAAGGAGAAATGAGGGAAACAGAAAGCACCCACCTCCCCTATAAGAGTCCCCACGAGAACATCTGAGTAGTAACCTACAGGCAGAACCCACTGGTAAATGCTAACCCTAAGGGGAAGCAGGGTGTTTACACAGGCACAAATTGTCTCCTTCTAAACATCCTTAGTTAACAGTGCCAGTTCCAGCTCAGGCCCATAAGTTCATGGACCTCCTGCCTTCGGGAGGTGAAACTTAATTCTCCACTGAGTGTGGGCGGGACCTGCTGCTCAGGAATCCAGGAAAAGACAGGTTGAGGAGCTCTTACTCAAAATTCAAAATTCTGGGTCCAGAAGTGTTTTGGATTTCGGAGTTTTTCTGATTTTAAAATAGTTACATAGGCTTTGCCAGTTGAGCATTCCTAATCTAGAAGTATGAAATCTGAAATGCTCCAAATTCTAAACTTTTTGAGAGCCGACATAATACCCAAGAAGGTCCAGATTGTCAGATTTCAGTTCAAACTATTGAATCTTGTTTTCCTCCCCAACCGGTTGGATCTTGACAGTGGACCCCAGCAGATACTTCCTGAACCAAATGATCAGGTCAACTTCTGCCACAATGGGCCACGGGGACACCATGTATTCCCGGTACCCTGGGATGAGGACGTTCACTTCTGTGGGTCTCCTCCCCAAACCCATAACACTCTTTTAAGCCTGTGAGAACATCACAGACTCAACCAAGGGGCATTCTGTAAAACACCCAAGCAGTACTCTTCAAAAATGTCGGGGTCACAGAAATCAAGGAAAGAAACGATCTCAGAATAAAGGCGACTAAGGAGCCAGACAACTCAGTGGGCCCTAAAACAGGAGAGGTACTGGTGGGAAACTGAAGAGTCTGCACAAAACTGCTCTGAGCCGCTACCACGCAAACACTCTGCAGATGGCCATGTCGTATGAGGGACCCAGGCCTCAGAGAACCCGGCTCATGGAGGGTGCTCTTTCTGAGTCTGATCTGGAGCTCTCCATACTGATCTCGACTCTGTTTCTAGAGAACCTGCCAAGCTGATGTTCAAAAGTGCCTGGATATTTGGAGGACTCAGACTCACGTGGTCTACATGAGACTTTACTGGACAGCACGGCCCAGGGTAGAACCCTGGGAAAGAGGAACCACAGAAGGGTGTCTTTGCACAAGGGCGGGCCAGAGCCCAGGTGAAAAAGGCAGTCAAGCATCATGCTCACGCCTGTGGGCACCAAAGCTTGTCCTCAAGGACAGTCACCCTCTATACCCATGGGCTCTGACTGTGGATTCAACCAACTGCGGATTAGAAATATTTGGAGAAAAAAAATACTGCACCTGTATATAGACTTTTTTCTTGTCATTCTTCCTCAAATGATACATTACAATTAGTTATATAGCACTTACGGTGTATTGGGTATTATTAGCAATCTAAAGATGATTTGCCTATGTTCGGTGCAAATATTACACCATTTTATAAAATGGACTTGAATGTCCATGAGTTTTGCTATTTTTAGTGGGTCCTGGAACCTTATGGGTACAAAGAGTTGACTGCAACTAACCAGGTGTGGTGGTGCACACCTACAAGCCCAGCACTTGGAAGGCTGAGGCAGGAGGACTGCTGAGATCGAGACCAGCCTAGGCTACGCAGCGAGTTTAGGGACAGCCTGAACTACACAGGGAGATCCTGCCTCAAAAAGCCAAACAAAACAAATAAGAGACAATGGCAACTTTCTACTTTGTACTCATAGGATGGTAGAGGACGGCATGGAGACATGCACAAGACCTCCTGCCCGATGACCTACCTGTCCTAGCAGTGCCTCTCAGCCCCTCCCCTGTCCTATATGCACGCACACACGCCCATTCGTACCTGTGCCCCTCCTCACACAAGGCCCACCTCACCAGCGCCACCCCGACCCTAACCCACAGCCCTCAGTGCGTCCTGCTGCGGCCCGTCGGCCCTTGCTGCTGGTCTTCCCCTGCCCCCGGCGGCCCCTCACACCCCTTCCTCTTTCCACCTCCCACGTCTCCGGCAGCCCCTGTTCCCTAGGGGACGCCGCCTGCTGACCAGACCTAGGCCACACTCCTAGAGGGACGCCACGAGGGCGATGCTGCTGCACCCTCCCTGGCCATCAAGGTAGGAGGCACGTGAGGTGACCTTTCCACCTGCAAGATGGTTCCTGCTGGGCCTGTCCGTGCAAAGACCATTGATCACCCTTGTCTGGCAAGGGTTCTGTGATCCTGTGGTGGGAGATGTTCTGATGTGATGACGATATCCTAATCTTCAAATGACTCCAGCCTAGGAATTTGTGGATGCCACCCTGTGTCACCCTCCCGCTCGCCACACGTCTAACTCTCTCCTTCACACAGGGGGATCCCACGCCCCCTTACCCCACACCTTTGCTGATGCGCTTAACCAGTGAGCCTATCCACATGATGTGGCCAGCTCCTCCACCATCCTGGCCACTTCTGTAATGTCACCCACTGCTCCGCTTCTTTGGCTGCCAGTCCCTCTGCCTGGCACCCTCTTCCCTGTCCATGAGCTCAGATACCAACATGGCTGCCTGCAAGGGAAGGAGGGTACAGAAGGACCACAGGGTCCCCACGGAGGCAGAGCACGCCTCACAGGCCAGCAGTGAATTCCAGAAGAACCGTGGTCTAAGAACACCAGTGAGTTCTCAGGGCATAAGGGGCCTCCTTGGTCTCAGTGCAGGGCCAGAAGCATTCACCAGAAGGGGAAAGGCTGGCAAATGCGACTCCAGTAAAATACTTCTGATCACTGAGGACACCGTCAGGAGAGTGAGAAATACAAGCCATCATGCTGGAAGAATAATATGCAATATAAAAATACGTATCCTATCCAGAACAGGAAAAGAACTCTGTCCCAGTAAGAAAAACGGCAGTCAATCAGAGGAATGGGAAAGAGACCAAGAGGTATTTAAGACAAGTTTCTCCAAATGGCCGACAGCATAAGAAAAGAGTCCATCAGGATTAGAAAGACTCAAATCAAGCACATTCTGATGTGCCCCATACAGGGGTGAAGCGCGGAGGGGCACACCTGCTTTGGGAGGTGCAGATCGGTATCTGCTGACAAGTCCAGTGTGTACATGCACTGTGGCCTAAACATCCCAGCGCCAGGCTCAGGGGCCTTACCTGCACCTAGGTGTGCATGTGTGTCCCTAGGCACAAGGAGACTCGGATGAGTCCTCCCCACAGCTCTGTCCAATAGCCCCAAGCGGGCAACCCGCTCTCCACCGGCAGGGGTGGGCAGATGCCTCTAACGGACACCACACAGGAGAACCATCTGTAGTTACACGTGCCAGAAACTGGGATGAGAGACAAAAGTCAGAGGCAAAGCATTCTTTTTTATGGTTCCATTTTTCTCAAGGTTAAAAAAAACCTAGCCTCTACTTTTTGAGACAAATATTAATACAGGAAAGCAAGAACAAGGCATAGAGTCACTGTCTACCTCAGTGCAGGGTGGGTAGCACTTATGAGGGTGGCAGGTGGGGCTGGGGATCTGAGGGGCTGGTAATGCCGCCCTTCTTGACCAAGAGGTGGTTACTCAGGTGCTGCCTCTGTCACAATGCAACAGCCTGTACACTCCTACGTGTGCTCTTCTGTAAGGACCGGTATGCTGTATTTCACAATGAAAAAGGTAAAAGAAAGCCCTGCCAAAGAGGCTGTTACAGCACAGGTGTAGGTGACTTGAAAGCACACAGCCTCCATCAAGGGCCACTTAGAGAGAGGTGGCTTTCAAACACAGCTGAGCACAGGCCAAGGGGAGGCAGCCTCGCAGGCTACAGTGTCTAGAGCAACGTAAACGCACCTGGGCATTGTACACCTGCAGTCTCCACCTGTGGCCTCCTGACCCACAGCCGAGCCTGCTGGAGAGAGGCCTCTGCGGCACCATCCTGGCCGGGAGAGGAGGCATCACAAGATGCTTGCCCCAGGCTACCCTCTGAGTGTGCCTCCCACACCAGCTGGCATTGTGCAACCGAGAGGACTGCTCAAGGCCACCCAGGTGTCTGGTCCCCAGAGGAGCAGGAGGTCCTCAAAGGCCTGCCTCTCGGCTGAAAACCTGGAACATTTACAAACGTCAACTCCAGTGCCGTTGGCTCAGTGGGATATTTAGAAACTGTTTACTCTGACAATCAAGGAAACACCGAAACCACACAGAGGCCTCTGTGCCGAGGGAAGGAGGTAAGGTTCAGTGAAGGCTCCAAAAGCACACAGGGCCAGAGTCTCTGCCCTCCTGGACAACTCTGGTCCCTCAGCCCCCTGAACAGCCATCTTCTGGGTGGTGGCACCACACGAATCTGGCATAAAAGTGCTCTGCAGACCATCGGGGCCAGGCGATCCCATCATCCAGGAACAAGACCCCACTGCACACAGGTGTCCCAGGCTCTGAGTCTAGAGCAGGACGACAGGCCTGTCACAGGAACGCCCTGAACACGAAGGGTGCCAAGACCCACAAGGGAAGCGTCAGGAATCCACGGGGGAAAAGCTGCTCAGGAAAGTGGCACTTTGACTTGGTTTCTGAGCTGACAGCAGTGGTCCCCCGGTGGGCAAATGTACCAGGCTCTGGCGGCCGGGTGGCCCTGGCAGAGGACTGGTTACCGGCTCCCTGCACACCGTCCCATCTCTGCTATGCCCTGGCCTTCCCTCTTTCCATCTGCCCCTTCCCGGCCCATCCGATGTCCCTGGGCCTGTCACCTCCACAAGGCCATAGTGACAATGCCAGAACACAGCCCCAGAGACTACCTAGGGATGCTCCTGCCTCGGGATCACTGAAGGCTGCCCAGCCCAGGGTCTCCCATGGCCCCTCACGACACTCCCAAGTTAGAGTCTCGGTGGCCCCAGCCCATGTAGTCTCACTAGGAGCAACAGCTCCCTGCCCCAACTGAAGCACAGGCTGTGGAAAGCGCCATCCGTGTACCTCTTAGCAGACTTCTCAGCAGTTACAGGGTGGGTGGCCAGCAGCCAGCACCTGTACACACTGCCCTGGAAAAGGCCAAGGGCACCAGAAAGCCATTCTTAAGATAAACAGAGGCTGGGTTAGTGAGCACTCCGATGGGGACGGGTCCTAGACGCACAAGTGAATTTTTTAGGGCACAGAACACACACACACACGCACACGCACGCACGCACACACACACATACACACACGCACACGCACACACACACACACACACGCACACCCCATCCAGTCTCTACTACATGGAATCACAGCCGTAGGGAAGGAGCCTCGATGAGCACAAACACAGGAGATGCGGCAGGGGCCACAGGCAGGGAGTCGGCCTCATCGCTGCACCTACTCAGAAACCAGAGAACCAGTCACGTGGGCCGAGACAGCCCAGGGAGGGACACACGGCGCCAGCTTCCAGTGTGTGGCCTGCGGTGTCCGTTCGGGCCCCCAGGCCCTCGGTCTCTGAGCCTATACTTCATTCCACTCTCTCAGCCTGTGGCGCCGCCCTCTCTGCCCACCCGAAGCCATAACCAAGGGCCCTCCACGAAGCCTGGCCCTCCCTGCCACGTCGCAGCTGTGCTGGTAGAAGCCACCTCAGATGTTTCCAGCCCCAGCACTCTATCCTCCTGAGGTGGCCCCGGAGCAAATAAAGGCTTCTGCCAAGGTGGTCAAACCAGCAGACGCTGGCTCTCCTCACCCCCCTGAGGACAAGGGGCTGCCCTAGTATCCTCCACATGACGCGGCCAAGCTGCTTGGCTGCTCCTCGACCTTTCTTTTTTTTCTTTCTTTTCAACTGGCTTTTCAAGTCTCCCATTTCACCCTGGCAGCCAGGTGGAGTTACAAGGGCCTTGCTCGGGTGCTCCTGGTTCCCACCGGAGGCCATGAAGTGGCTGCCTTAGGACCTCACGCTGCTGCCATGACATACCTGAGGAGCTGGGGGCTCTGGGGTAGCATCTGCAGCCAAGTTACACTCTGGCCCCCATGGCCATCCAGGGTGGCAACCGCTCTCCGTGTTTGTAGGCTCCAGATGTGAACCAGACCACGCTGACACCTGTTGAGAGGAGCCCGGCACAGGTCAGGAGCAGGCACTGGAGTCAGGTGGACACTCCGAGCTTGCTCTGGGGCCCACCCAGACACCACACACCTGGCAGATGCGGGTATTTTGACCACTAGAGGTTTTAGGGTAATAGTCAACAGCTCTAACTATGAATCAAGGATAAAACTGGCTGCTTCCAGAGAAGGCGTCTGGGAAGACCCTTGGGAGCCCGAGCGGGGAACTCAGGCAGCAAGGGCTGCTCCGGAAGGGAAGGAGAGCCCTGCCCTTGAATGTAGGGTACAGTCTCCAACAGAGGGGTGTGTGTCCCTGCTTATCCAAGAGGGTCAGTCCTGAAAGGACAGCAAGCACAGGGACAGGTGGCTTGAAGACCTACGCTCGGATCCCAGATGAGTTCTGGGCTCTGTGCTAGCCCACAACCCCGACTTCATCCCCAGGCTCAGGCTCGGGCCGCTGCTACTCACCCTGAGAAGAGAAGCGGGCACCCCTGGGCCTGGGCTCCTCTGCAGAAGTGCAGCGCGTTCACTGCTGACTGTGTGCCTCGCAGAACAAACTGGGGGTCTGGCGGTGGCTGGGGGACGGGAACAGCCATGCCGGGCAGGGTGCAGTCACCTGGGGACCAAGGATAGGACACATGAGTGACAGAGCCCTCTGTCCTCCTCCAGGAAGGCAGCTGGGAAGAGGCATTTGGGATGCTGACCCAATCAGTGTTCCTGGCCTTCTGTTTCTCCTGGAGGTAGGGAGACTTCTTGCTATGCGAGAGTGCTCAATGGTCCTGGGGGCCCCTTTCCCTAATTACTGGCCTCTTCTCTTCATTGCTCATGATGGAAATCTGTGAACCGTCCCTACAACCCTCCTTCTGCCTATGGGCTTCTGCACCTAACTGGTATTAACAAGATCCCAACGTCTACCCTCCCTGGGCCGGTACAATGGCATCTACACCTACCCCTGACCACTTTGGCCCCGGGTGCCCTGCACAGAGCCACATGCTGCCTTCGGGGCTTCTTGTCCGGTGGTGACAAGGATCTTTTGCTTGAGACTAAGAGTACAGCTCAGTGCTCGCTTAGCACGCACAAGGCCCTGGGTTCCATCTCCAGCACTCCCCCCAAAAAAACAAAAAACTTTGCCTCACCAAGCTTAATTCAAAGCCTGAATCTTCTCCTAGGCCCATCTCTGTATTTCTCTGTAAAATCTAGTTTTAGTACAAACTCTGCTTACCCTCAGAATCTTATTGAGTGAGTGATGTCTCTGATCACCCGGCCCTGCCTTTAGTCAGAATCCTGTTAGGGCTCAGTTGACCAGAATCCCCCTCACTCCTGATGTCTCCTGTACACGAAGCCCCTTGGCTTCCTGACTAAATTTCCACTTGTCCATGCTGTTTTCAAGAGATGAGCTGGATCTTCCTCCTCTGCTGCAAAGCCTCACTGCTGTGGTCCCAGCACCACCTCAGTGGCCTAAGCAATGCTTTCCTTACGGTGCTTTAACACGTGTCTCCACATGTTCTCCTCGGATAAGCTGTGCCCGCTCCCTCCCCACTCCCCCGTCCACACTAGTGTTTCTCTGCTCCACTCCCTGCATGCTGCCAGTGCTGGTCCTGCTTCCGGGCCAGGCCGAGCCCTACCCCATCCAGGCCTTGCTGCAGTGCCCTCCTCCCTCGAGGGCCTGCCCCATTTGCTCTCCTGGCAAATCCAGCCTCCTCCCTTCCTGGAGCCCCTCCTCTCTCCTTGAAGTGTGGTAACGAAGTACCAGAACATGGCACCACTCGGGCTACATGGCTAGCTGGGAGCGGGAAGGCAGGGGTCAGACTGGGCTGCTCCCTCTAGACCCGGCCCTGCATGGGCACTAGCATCAGCTCAGCAGACGGTGGGAGCACCGGGTCCCCCCTGGGGAGCTGAAGGAGAAGCACCCCCTCCTTACCTCTGCTGTAAATACCCCTGCTGGGTCTTAGGCCTGCACTGACCACCGCAATTTCTAATTATTACAACTACCCTGCGAAGAGGCGGTACCCCCGCCACTGGAGAAACTGAGGCATGAAGTGGTTGAGTGAGCTACCCTAGGTCCTGTGTGCTCCAAGGTGCAGAACGGCCAGCAGTGTCGAGTACAGGTAGTGCCATGTCCAAGGCTGTTCCTCAGATGGCTACTGTCACAAAGGGACTCGCTAGGTTCCCTTCAAATGGAGAAGCTTCCCGGGTCCCTCTGAACCCACCTCACCCACTCAACTCTGCAGAGGCCCCTATGGCTTCTGCAGTCCCAAAGGTGGCTGATCTAACAGAGTGTCCCCAGAGCCAGAAGTAACCTGCCCCAGTGGCTGGGAGCGTTGCCAGTCGGCCATGTACTAGGCCGAAGCCGCAGAGGAAAAGGTGAGGGGCAGACAGCAGGGGCTGCTGCAGCCTGTCGTGGGATCTCCAGCATTGGGCTGAGGGACGGTTCTCAATCCACCCACCTGCAGCTTATACACAGCAGGGTAGGAACAAGCCTGTCCAACTGGGCCCAGCTGCAGCCACCAGAAGGAAAAGAACAGGATCAGGAAAGACAGGAAGCATTCCTCCAGAAAGGAATGTTGGCCCAGAGGCTGCTATGGGCTGTGGGAGAGAAGGGGCCACAGGTCAAGGCCACACGCAGCACAGAATAAGTGTGGAGGCAGGAAAGATAAGGGCTTCTCTTGTGCGCAGCCCATCCCAGGGCAACCCCTCCACTCATGCCACCTACCTCTAAGCCCTGGTGCCTGCCCCTAAAGCCGCCCCAAGCCCTTGCCTTCTCTCCTTTCATAAGAAAAGAAGGAGTGGGCTCCAAATAGCACAGAGCATGGAGGGGCAGACAGCAGCCCAAGCCGGGCTCCCTGGAGACCATGAGGGCCTACGCAGGGTGGACTGTGCCACAAGGTCTGCACCTATGCCACTGAGGTGCGACTAGGGCCAGGGCCTAGATCCTAACGACCGAGTGCAAGTGTTAACAGGGACAGGCCTGGGAAGGGCCCTGGCTCTGACTTCAGGGCAAGAGTCCATTTTTTCTGATGAGAGACTCAGGCAGCCACACCATCAATGGACCCTGCCCTTCTCAAGGGCTTTCGAGGAAAAAAAAAAGCATTTTACAAAGCACCAAATCCTATTTTATTTTCTTTTTATGGTGTTGGGAAGGAGGAGTTAGCCAAATAGGCCCTCTGATCTTTGGCTAAAGGATGACAAACTACCCAAACGTAAGGGTGGCTTCCTTCAAGAGAAGACCCAAGCCCATAATGTTCTTTGGACGCTGCTGTGGTCTCCTGAAAGCTGCCTCGAGGCAGGCTAGTCCGGAGGGCAAGTTCAAAGGGGCAGCTGTTGGGCCCTCAGAAGCCATGGCTGCCTGTATAGGTTGTGCCTGCCAAATACAGGCTGCAGGCCCCAGCTCTACAAGGAGTCAGGAAGGCAGCCCAGCTAAAGCACCTTAACCTAATCCAGAAGGAAAGTACTGAGTTCAGCCAGAGGTTCCTCTCACCATGTGGGTCCAGACAGAAGACTCCAACAGACCACCTCTGCCCAAGCTCCCATGTGCAGTACATGTGCATAAACACAGGCGCACTCACATTCACACACACACGCATGTATATGCTCACACTCATATGCACATACACACTCTTGTGTGTATACCCTCACAGATGCACACGTACGAACGTACACATGGAGGCACACACTCATATAAACACACATACATGCGCTCACACGGACACTCTCCTGCACAATGTCTACACTCACATGCATTAAAACTTGCACTAAAAGACAGTATGGTGGCCTCAGGCAGTGCCCGAGGAGGCGGCCCCCACTTGCCACCTGCCTGCAGCCTGGTGGGAGTTTCCAGAACCTCACAGCAGAAGGCTCATTGTGAGGTGATGAAATCAAGTTCTCCTCTATTGTTTCCCCAGAACTGCGGGGAACAAACCTGTCACATTGTTACAACAGCCGAAACATTCAGGCCAGAATGATGCATCGGCAATTAAGGGCTCCATCATTTCAAGCAATTAAAATAAACGCTTTATTTGAAAACTAATTAATTCTACCTACATATTTTTCCCATGACAATATCCTATGATTACTTGATTTATGACATCTAATTATTCTTTATTAATCTAATTGAGAATAATCGCGTTATCCTATCTCCCCTGGCACCAACTGCCCGGGGTGGAGGCCGCAGCCCCTGCACACAGCCCATGTGTGGCACTGGCCGTTTCCCTGTGTGGTGCCCTGCTCTACTACTGGCTTTTCCTCCCAGAGGGCAAAGGCACAGGAAACTTAATCTGGAGCACAGCTTCGGTTCTGCTTGCCCTTTGAGATGTCAAAGCAAGACAGATTCAAAAATTAAAGGCAAGGACTCCGACACAAGGTGCGTGAACTCTGTCTGACAGCCTTTCCCGTGAGGACCTACAAATGCCTTGGGACTGGAAGCCCTTGGCCCTTGCAACACACATGAAGCAGCCCGGCAGGCCTTAGGGTGACCCCTCAGAGAGGCACCCCGAGCTTCCAGCACACAGACAGTGCACAGCTGGAGCCAGGTTGCACACCTACCACCTTTACACCTTGGCAGGTACAGCGGCCATGGTGATCGAGCAACGTCCTCGGAAGGGAGGCAGAGCAGATATGCACATGCCAAGCACGCTGGCACAGACTATCCCACAGCCCACAGGGGCTACGCCAGCTCAGACAGAACCCACGTGCGATCCGAGGCGGGCGAGACGGGCCGAGGGAACGGCTAGGGTCCAAAGACAACAGGTCCCTTCCAAGACAATTTGGGGGTTTCCACCCATGTGCACCCCTTAGTCTGACCCACTGGGCACAGGTCAGCCCCAGGCTGCCCCCACACTCCACGGCCCTGCGCCCACCTCCAAGCCCTCTCGTTTCATCACAACAGGACAACTGTTTACTAGAGGATGTTTAGAAATCAGCAAAAAGGACTAAGAAGCAGGACAAACAGGGAAGCAGTCACCCAGAGGCACCCTGAGCACTGCCTCCGCCTGACCCAGCGTACCAGGTTCCACCTCCATGTACAACAGCACCAGGAAACGCCACCTAGGCTGGCAGGAGCCCTCTGATGGAGCCCCCCACCCACCATCTGTGTGTGAGACAAGCCCTCAAGGTCCCGAGCATTCCATATCCCACTTGGGTGCCACCCGCAGCCTAATGGATATCCCGATGTCTCCTCCACACAGAAAACATACAAAAATGTTCATGAGATAGGAAATAAAATCCAAAATCCTCAGGGCATCATTAAATTGACAAAAAAAGAAAGTGAAACCTTCAGAGGCTAAACACTGTTATCAAAACTCAACCAAGGGAGGCCTGCAAAGCCCAGCTAGCACCTTCTCTGAGGGCATCTTCTTCACTAGTGACCTGAAATCTGGGGTGACAACGACAACACTGACAGCCCTTCCAAGATGTCCAGTCTCACAGGAAACTTTATATTTAGGTCAAACCGAGCTACACCTGGACCCAGACATGCCAGCTTCCAGATTTCAGCCTCAATTCGCACCACCAACTCCAGTTTGTCTTCTCAGAAGGAACCACCTTCCACTCAGGTGTCCACAAAATCATAGCGTGGTACAGTCACGCATCACAAAAACCAACAAGGAAACACGGCACCAC